CCCAAAAGCTAATGAAAGACAGACCTCCCACTCTTGGTATTATATTTTTACCTTAACTTTAAGAAGAAATTTTCCGTGAAAATGGATTTATCTCCTTTTTTATTATGAAAAATATCACCCCTAAATAAAATGTTGATTATCTAAACAATATACCAAATTTTATGCACCATTAATGACATTGACACTACTTCAGTACAACATAAGATACCAATAAAAAGGAACAATGGATGATCTCTAACAATCCAGTAAAAATAATGCAAATATTGTAACAAGAATGGACTGAGTTAACATTCATGTTTCCCTAGCACAAGAGTGAGAAATAAAGAGACAGAGAATAAGTCCAAGGGAAATTTATTTGAATTTGGTGCATTAAACCTTAACAATTTCAAACAAGCCCTTTCAAAGAGTTGCCCCAGGCAAAGTTGGGTTTTCTGCAAACCATAGGAGACAGTGCCACCTACTGGCCCGGGAATTTGCCCAGCGGGTAGGAAGAGGCGAGAGGGGGCTGTGGTTCAGACTCAAAACTCCCCCAAAGATTTGTTTCACGCGGTTTGGGTGTCGATGCCACCCGTATGCCTAACCTCCTCCTCCTTAAGGAAGCTGGAAGACCACTGAAGCTTCTTGCATAATGGGGTTCTGGTTTCCAGACTTCTGGGGGAGGAATGGGCAATGACGTCATGTGGGGCTGGACAGTGAGGAGCCAGGCCACTGATCTAAAGCAGTGGTTCTCCAGCTCTGGTGCACATTCCAGACACCTGGGGAGCTTAAAAATCCCGATGCTCGGCCTACCCTACACCAGTGAAGTGCTCTGGGATGGGACCCAGGCATCAGAGATTTCTAAATCTCCTCAGGTGACTTCAATGTGCAGCTGAGACCTGTAGCTGTCAGGGCAGTGGCCCATCCCCAGTTGGTTTCACCCCCTACTGACCTCAAAGAACTTTCTGACAAATGCAGAAATCAGCAGAATGGCATGTATATGTTCCTGTCCTGTGTTAGGGCTGTGATCACAGGATGCTTCCTCAAGGTCCGAGAGGCCCCGCATGTAAACAAATAATAAAACCACGCACAAAAAACCCCTGCCACTTTATTGAGTAAACTGGATTCCAGACCCAATTTCACCTTGCAGGGGTGTTCCCCCACACCAACACACACTTCTCAGACACCAGCAGGATGTCCAGGAATTCACCTCAGTTCTGACACTGTCGACCTGGAGACAGCATCAGACTCCACAGGTTAAGGACTCAGGCCTAGAAGACTGCCTGCTTCCCTGCCTCCACCCTGCTTCAGCCACCAGCTGCACACTGTGCTCTGACCTACTGGCCACAAACCAGCGGTTCCAACGAACCCCTCCAACTCATAATGCGTCACCTGTCCTGCTGACCAACTGACCATATAAATTAAAGATTTTTATGACTCCCCTTGGATTCAATTAATTTACTCTCTGAAGCTCACAGACTTCAGAGAAACATATCACTTACTAGATCATTGGTTTATTGTAAGGGATATCAGGAACAGCCAGATGGGGGAGATGCACACGGCAAGGTGTGTGGGAAGAGGCAGCAGTGCCTGTGCCCGTGCCCGTGCCCGTGCCCGTGCCCGTGCCCATGCCCATGCCCGTGCCCTCTCTAGGTGTCCCACTCTGCCTGAATCTCTGTGTTCACCAACCCCAAGGCTCTCTAAACCCCACCCCAGGGTTTTTATGGAGGCTTCAGTTTCCTAGTCATGATCGATTAAATCATTGGCCATTGGCCGTTGATTCGGGGGTGGGACTAAGAGTTCCAACCCTCCAATCACATGGTTAGTTCCACTGGTTCCTTAGAGGAGTGCTTTCCCAAAGTCACATCATTAACATAACAAAAGACACCTTTTCCACTCTCAGCACTTAGGAGATTCCAAGAATTCCAGGAGTTGTGAACCAGGAATTGTGAACAAGGCCCAATATATATGAGAAATATACTTTGGTCATCTGAATGACCAAATACATATTTCTTATAAATCATAATATCGCATTGAGGTACAGATGTACAATAAACTGTCCATATATTAAGTGTACAATTTGACAAGTTTTTTTTAATCCTCACCTGAGGATATTTTTCTATTTATCTTCAGATAGAGTGAGAGGGAGAGAGAAACATCGAAGTGAGAGAGACACATCGACTGGTTGCCTCCTGCACAACCCCAACCGGTGCTGGGGACAATCTGCAATCCAGGTACGTGCCCTTGATCAGAATTGAACCTGTGACTCATTGGTCCATGGGCCGATACTCTAACCACTGAGCCAAACTGGCCAGGACCAATTTGACACGTTTTGATATAACCATCACCACACTCAAGATAAAGACCATACTCTTCAAGCTTGAGCTGGAAGAGTCCCATTTCATACTCCTGTTTCACAATTATTTGTTACTCATTCTATGCCAGGCATTGTGCTGGGTTTAAGGAAACACAGGAAACCAAGCACCACCCCTTCCCTATGAGAACTGGTTACAGGACCCAGCTGGTCCATGAAGGAGGCCACACTTCTACCTGTGAGTGCTGTGGAGAGAAGAGGATTAGGAAAAGCTAGTCAGAGGAGATGATGGTTTAGCTGATCTAGATGGAGGTGTTTATTGGGCAGTTGAAGGGAAGGAGCATTCCAAGTGAAGGGAATAGCATGAGCAAAGAGTGGAGGTTGAAGAGGATCTATGTTTAGGTAGCAGCAGGTGTGGCCAGTGTTAGTGCACTGGGAGAATGGAGGTATGAGGCAAAGTGGGAGCAGTTGGTGACAACAGCCAGGTGACAAGGAGTGATGAGCCATAGGAGTCTGGCTTGATTCTATGAGCTTTATCCTCTCCTGGAGAACCCCCGAAAGCCTTAACGCAAGGAGTGTCATGATCAGATATGCATCTTAGAAAATTCATTGACAGCCCTCCAAGGTTGCAGGACGATCAGTCAGAAAGCCTTTGCAAAGGTCCCAGTGAGCAGAAACAAATTAATTATAGGTCATATTTTATAAGAATCAAAAACCATTTTGAATGCGAAAGCTATTTTCAAAAACATAACTTATGTACATATTTAGAGCATTATTTTTATGTAAACAATGGCAATGAAAGTCTCTGAAGAATGGATAATACTCTGGTCCATGAAGCCCAGAGTTTTTGCCTCAGGACCTTTTAAAAGCAATGGAAGCTGGCCTGCTCTAGTGCAGAGGGGCACCAGGGAGGTGGGACTCTTTAGAAAAATGGTTCAAATAGCTATAGGTTCCCAGAACCATCTTCAGATGTAAAGGAGGTAACAGGCAGATTAGAAATAAAGTCTGTAATTATAAGTTACAGTGGTCAGACAATATTAAGTTATGTCTGCATTGATTCTGCTGCTGTTAAGTGGTCGGTTGATGGCCAATGTCTCCCCGTGGGCATTAATAGATCATACGAGTGTGTTTCTTTTATTCCATTCACCATCTAGCCTTGAGAACACAAAAGTAAACACAAGTGGTGTCAGTAAGGATGCTTTCAGCTGCAAAACCGAAAACAACTATAGGCTTCCATTGTTTTATTTTACTTCGCACTACTGCACTTCACAGGTGTTGCATGTTTTACAAATTGAAGGCAAGACCCCTCACCAACAAGATTACAGCTCGCTTTATTGCAGCAGTTTGGAACCGAACCCACAATGTCTTCGAGATGTGCCTGTACTCACGCTGGCCTAACAGCGAAGTCAGAGGCTTTCGGTACGGCCTGATCACTGCTCTGGCTCCATTTTCCCGTGGTTCTCTCAGCTCTGTCCTCCTCCATGTGTCAGCTCAGCAAAACTGAAGCAGTTCGAGGCTTTGCATCTTCAAGCTCATTCTCCAGAAGAAAGTGTTTCTCACTTTGCAGGCCAGAAGGGAGTGGCAAGAAATATTGAGAGTGATGAAAAGCAAGAACCTACAACCAAAATTACTCGACCCTGCGAAGCTGTCATTTAGAATCGATGGCCATATAAAAACTTTCCCAGACAAGAAAAAGTTAAAGGAGTTCATCACCACCAAACTGTTATTATATGAAATGATGAAGGGTCTTTTTGAAGAAAAAGATAAAATATATGAACAAACAAAATGGCAATGAATACATATCTATCAACAATGGAATCTACAAACAAAATGAACAGGTAGAACAGAAACATTCTCATAGATACAGAGAACATTTTGTTGGTTGCCAGTTGGGAAGGGAGTTGGGGGAATGGGTGAAAAAGGTGAAGGGATTAAGAAGCACAAACTCATTGCTAGACTGACAAACCTCAAAGGGAAAGGGGTTGGGGTGGGGGGTAGGAAGAAATAAACCAAAGAACTTATATGCATAACCAATGGACACAGACAATAGTGTGGGAAAAGGTGGGAGGGGGGCGGGAGGGGGGAGGAGGGGGTCAATGGGGGAAAAATGTGGAACATATGTAATACATTTTACATCCAACAATAAAGATTTGGGAAAAAAAAAAAAAAGTGTTTCTCTTCCTCTAAGCCTCCTACCAGAGTTTGGGCTTCATTCTCACTGCGTCCACTTATGCCATGTGTTCACTCTTAAGCCAGTCACTGTGGCAAGGGGCGGGATGGGATTCCACTGATTGGCTCAGGTCAACCAAAGCCCGCCCCTGTGAGCTGAGGATCCAATCAGTTCCACCCAAGGGCTGGGCTGCTTCATAATGGGAGGGGAGTAGGATGTGCAACAGGAAGCAGCTGAAAATATCTACTACCTGCTAATAAATGCCTTGGGTCATCCAACAGCCCCTCAGGACAGCAGATGTCAATCCAGTTTGTCATGTGTCATGGTTGCTATTGAAAGCGAGACTTCCTGCTTTGTGCATCACTAAAAGCCACGAACACAAGAAACACAAGGAAGGCCACTATCTACCAAAGATACTTATTTATTACCTCTCACATAAAGTCAAAAGCAAATAATGATAATAACATAAAAACACCTAGCAAGGGGACCAGACATTAGACATAAATACGGACATTATTAACATTAAGGAAAGCCCTTGCTGGCTGTGGCCACCCCCATTCTTGGGTGTGTATGTGTTGGTGGCCACAGCTAAGCCTCTGTCACCAGAGAAGACTGAGGCCTCAGTGAAGTACCTCTGGAATCTGCTTCACAAGGCTGGACATCTGGATCCAGAGCACAGACTCCCTCTTCCACCATCAGCCAGACAGAATGTCTGCAATTTCTAAGTGACTTAAAGCTCTTGCTCCTGGGGTTTTTGTCTTCACACTTTTTCCTAGGCTCTGAGTATTGGGTAGGGGATGAATTAGAGGAAGTGCCCATTTGCCCATTGAGGAAGGGAATCTGAGGACGAATCGTCCTTCATTCATCCTTCCAGTCCAGCTTCTTTCTGCCTCTGTTTTTCCTGCTGCCAGCCCCTCCCACCTGCCGGCATTCCAAAAACTCAAGAATGCACCCCATGATGGACACTTCTAATTTGTCCAAGCCTTCTAATTCACAAAAAGGTCCTGTATTTCATCACTCCTCCTGAAAAAGCTGAGACATGTCTTTTTTTTTTTTTTTGTCCTTCTTGGTGTGAGGCCTGGTCACGAGCTCCTGGCAATTCAAGGGCAATGAAATCCCTACAGCTGAAGGACAGTAGAACCTTAAAACATGGTCTCTCTTCCCATCCCCTGAGACCCCCACAGCTGATGTGTAAGAGTCTCCCAGAAGTAGGTCACTCATCTAGGCTATCAACTCAAGAGCAACGTTTTCCCTGGAATAGACAACCTTAGGAACTTTCCTCTAGATTGAACATGGTTATTACTGCCCACCAGAAGCAACAACAAAAACAAAACCCTAACCATTGTACGGACTGGAGAAAATCAACTGTCTTACAAGTGCTAATAAGCATCCAAGTGCATTGAATTTCATAAGAACTAGCAAACAAGCTGTAGTCAGGCCAACGGTTACAGCTTCCTTTCAGAGAGGCTGGATGTCAGATGGCAGAATAATACCAGAGGCTGGATCTTCACTGCTGCTCAGTTCTCCATCAGTCTCTCAGTCAAAATAAAAGCTCAGACATTGGGTTGAGAGCCACGGATGGTTGCAAATTTTTACCATCCTAGACAAAAAGAGAGAAGGAAAAGAAAAACTCTTAGAAAAGAAGTATTCCAACAGAAACACCTGAGAAAATTTAGATCCATAAATTAACATGATTTTAATTAAGATTATTTGATGACTATTTTTAAATTAGAACCTGTCACGGTGTTAGATCTTTGTCCTAGGAGATAGGATTCATTCTGTGCATTTCATAGATGAGAAAACAAACCCAGAGAAGTCAAATAACTTGTCAGAGATCACACAGCTAGTAACAGGAAGGGCCAGGCTTTGAACCCAGGTCTGTCTGACTCTAAATCCCACAGTTACTCTGCCACTAAAGGGCTCTCTTTAGATGTTATCCTGAAAGTAAGGGCTCCACTGATAAGGAGGAAAGGAGGTTTTTATGAGTTTAATGGTTAAGGTTCACCTTAGGTGGGGCCAACAGGACATCCATTTGTGGCTGTTGGTGGCTAGACCTTGTGAAAGACCCAACGTGGTGCGTATTATGCGTCATCCCTTTGTACACACATAAATCATGTAGATTTCCTTGACTAAAGGGAAGTTTATACACAATATAAACCATAGGATTTCAAAATAAAAACAAGTCAAGTTTTCCCAGCATGTTCAAAGTACGTTAAGATCCTGAAAGGGCAGTGTGCTCCCCTGGGCAGCCTGCAGAGTGAAGTGTACCCACGGGGCCTCAGAGCCGATGCCTGCCGTCCTCAGCCTCTACCACCCTCCCTGCCCTCCTCCTTTATCCTCTTTATTGTTTTGCTCTTCTGGGTATGCCTCACCCTAACCCTTTCTTCTCTCCCTTTCTCCCCTCGTCTTTCCTTTGGTTTTTTTAAAAAATCACTTCTCTTCTTGCCTTCTTTTTTCCTGGCTCTTCTGTAGCCCCGTCTCCTCCTCCTTCAGCATCTCTCCTTCCATCGATCAGCCCCCTGGTCACCCTCCCACAAGAGTCGCCTCTCACAGGCTTCCTCCTTTCAGCATTTGCTTTGGATCAATTAACCACACTGAGCAACGCCAGCTACGATGATCCAGTACAAATCTCATGAGCAAAAGCTCTTCTCCTTTCCAGTCCTTCCCTGGGAAATAAGCGATCACCAGTCTAACTTGCCTTTTCTCTTTAGAAAGTGCTCAGATTGCTTTGAAGTCTGGGGGGAGCCAAGGAGAGATTTACATGAGCTGCCTGGAAAGGCTCCACAGAGCCATGTTTATATCCTACAGGCTTCCTAGGGCCTGACCTGTGCCCTGGGTCCTTAAACAGCCTGGGAATTGTAACTCAACCCCACACAACCATGGGAGCCATCGCCACAGAAGCTTCTATTTTCAAGAGATCTTAAGGGAATCTAAATTAAGCTGCTGCTTTATTTATTTACTTGTTTGTTTGTTTCTTTGTTTATTTTACAGTTGAGGAAATAGATGACCAAGGAATTACATGATGTAACTAAAGGCACAAAGATGGTCAGTGTTAGGGACCAAGTGGTGGCTATTTACAACAGCACAGAGCTTCTTCTGCTCTTCCTCTTTTGATTAAAAAAAATAATAAATGATGATGATGATAATAATAATAATAATAATAATAAGGCCTGGGAGGCAGCCAGGGCTTGATGAAGATACAATGACCAGCTCCCTACTCTGCCCTGGGCATTGCACTCAGAAAAGCCAATCAGGCCCTGGTCAGTTTCTCAGTGGTTAGAGCATTGGCCCGAGTACCAAAGGGTCTCAGGTTCAATTCCAGTCAAGGGCACGTACTGTGGTTGTGGTTTGGTCAGGGTGATGGAGGAGGCAACCCATCAATGTGTCTTTCTCACATCAATGTTTCTCTCTCTCTCTCTCTCTCTCTCTCTCTCCCTCTCTCACTTCCGCTCTATCTTAAGATAAATAGAAAAATATCCTCGAAGAAAAGTCAATCATACCCCCCCACATACACACACACTCACCTAATAGTCAGGGCGGGGCATGCTCCTCTGCGCATAGGGATTGCGTGGCTGGCTGTTGGGGAAGCTCGTTTGGACTCTCGGGAAGATGCGCCCTTCCGTGCCTGGGTTGCTGAAGCCTGTCATGTACTGCAGTCTCAGACTTTGAAAATCATTCTCAATCAAGTTCTGTTCTTCAATATTCTTGCTTGTCTTTGATCTGTAATTAGTAACATGAATTAGGATACGAAAACGGCAGAAGGTTCCTGAAAGCAAATATTAAAACGCTTTTAAAAAATGTTTTAAAATGTGGAAATATTTTGAAATTTACATGTGAGTTACTGAATATATATATATATATATATATATAGCCGAGTTCTCATACATCATCGCCCAGATTCCCCAACTGTTAATATTTCTGAACCATTTAAACATAAGTTGCAGTCCTGATAACCCATTACCCATAATATTTCATTACTTCGTTCAGTGTAGATTCCCTAAGTTTAGGGACAGTCTCCTCACAGGCTTCGTGTACCCATCAAAACCAGAAGGCTAACACTGACCCAACATTAGCATCTAATTCCACAGTCCATGTACACAGTCCATGTACATTTTGCCAATGATGTTAGTATTCTTAAGTGTGCTTTTGAACTATTTATGGAAATAATAATAGAAGTCAGAAAGAAATGATTTACGATATAATTTTATATTTGAGCAAAGTCTGTCTATAGAAGCACCTCAGTGAATGAAACAAGTTCAAGGTACGTATAAAGCTCTTAATAGCTTTTGGTATTGGCCCCTCAAGGCCAAGCATTTAAAGCCAAGTGAAAGTTTTTGCAGGTGAGGGAGGCATCTGTCCAATGAACCCTGACGGAGACCCTATTCTTCCTTCTCTCTAATAGGCCACGGACCTGCCCCTGTAGCACCCTCCACAGTAGGAGTCTGGTGTGGGGCCAGTTACCTCCATGACACCCACAGGGCCCTGCCAGGGTGACAGTCACTCTTTCTCAGCCACAGTGAGAATCGCAAAGGAAGACCTGCTCACCCTGACCCTGATGGCCAGCCCAGCCCAGCCCAAAAGCCGTTCTTGCCCTTTGACAACACTCCTGTCTAGGGCACCAGAGAGGCTTCCTTCCCTTCGAAATGGGCAAGAAATAACTCTTGGGGTGTGTACCCAAGAACCATGACTCAGGCTGAGCTAAGAGCAAGCAGGGCTCTGCAGCAGGAAGGAGGTTTGAGAGGCATGGCTGCCCCAAGGCCATGGGTTCTGCAGCAGCCCCCGAGGGCCCTGGAGACCCAGCGCAAAGGGCCAGTCCCCTCAGAAAGGAGGAGTCGGAAAGGAGGAGTCAGCCTTCTCTGTGATGGGAATGCTCTGGCCCTCTCCCTGGAGGAGGGGAAGAAAGACACAGTCCCATTCCCAGATTTTTGTCCTTACGATGGTCTCTGAAGAAGAGTTACTATCAACATGAAATTTTTAAAAAGAGAAAAAAAATATATTCTCTCATATTATAGTGCAAAAATACCATTTTACCAAAATATAAGGTATGAGCTATATACTATTTCTTTAAGTAGCTTGTTTTTTATCTAGATGGATCCCCAGTTGGCACAGTTAGAATGCAATAGATAATGCATTCTCTCTACCTGTTAATGAAGGGAACTTTAGGATGTCTAAATACTGGTTGAATAAATGAATGGACCCTACTTAAGTTCTTAAGATGATCATGTAAGGCTCCCAGCTGAGAAACTGCTGCAGAGAAAACTCTCCTACTTAAAACCCAGGGGGCTCCAGGTGAGGCCGATTTCCCATCACCTGCAGCAAGGCCCTGGGCCGGGGACTAACTTAACAACAATGACATCTGACAATATCAGTGGAGTTCAGTACTGCTAACAAAGAGTTTTTATGACATAAGAAAATGATTGCTATGTCACATGAGAGTGTGAAGCAAAAATAACCTCAATGAATTATTTAAAAACACAAAGGATACAAAATTATGTATATAATATCCTTTAAACAGATAGAGAAAAACCTGGAAGGAAATAAGCCAAAATGTTCGTGGCCTCGGAGTGGTGGGATTTGTGGGTGGTTTTTTATTCTGCTCCTTTACATATCCCTCTATTTTCCAGACTTTCTTCAGTGATCTTATATAATCAGAAGGAGGGGGGAAGTCAGTGGTTTTGAGAAGTCTCGCCGCACTTCCCTTCCCTGCCTGGACAGGCCACGTGTGTTTGGAAACCAGAGTGTAATGCCGGGGGCGCTGTGCCCCGGGGCAGGGGCCTTTCCGTGCCATACCTCGTGCAGATCAGTGCGATCACCATGCCAAGAACGAGGATGCCAGCAATGGTGCCCACGATAGTGAGAATCAGCTGAAAATCTGAAAGGGAAAACAGAAGGGTAGGAAGAGTACCCCACAAGCAAGCCCCACTGTCGTCTGCTGCACAGGTGCGGGTGTCCCCAGGGGCTCTTGGCTGTGAGGACAACCAGACTCTCACCTCTCACCCCTCCAGGGCCAGGCTGGATGGGTTGGTCGCTCACCTCCTTTAATCTACTCTCCCCTCCACCTCCAAAACCCAACTATATCTTCAAAACTCAGTCAGAAGAGGCAGCCAGATAAAAGACCACAAACTCAGAGGAGGCCACGGTGGCAGACGCCGCCTGGACTTCGTGGGGAATGGGATCTCACCCGAGAACCACACTCCCTCCTGAGCTCTGCGCCTTTGCCTGCCCACCACACCGGACCTGCATGGGAAGCTGGGGGGACGAGGGAGGAGTCAAGTTGTCACTAAGAGGGGAGCTAGGTGATGGCTTGACAGAGTCGGTGGGGGAAGAGCCTGGGGACGCCTTGCCACCCATTCCCTTCTCTAGATCGCCGTGGAGCACTGCTGAGCACGTGACACGTGATATGAGTTGGCCTGTGAGTGTAACATACACAGTGGCCTTCAAACACATTTTTAAAAACTGTAAAATATCTCATGAACAATTCTTATATTGATTACATGTTGAAGTGATAATATTTTGTAAATGTTTTTTATTGATTTTAAAGAGAGGAAGGGAGACGGAGAGAGAAACATCGATGTGAGAGAGAAACATCGATCAGTTGCCTCCCATACACACCCCTACTGGGGACCAAACCTACAACCTAGGTATGTGCCTGACCACGAATCCAGCCAGCGACCTTTCAGTGCCCGGGATGACGCCCAACAAACTGAGCCAACACCAGCCAGGGCGAAGTGATATTTTTGATATAGTGAGTAAAATAAAATGTTATTAAAATCAATTTCTCTTTACTTTTAAAATTTTATTTAGAATTTTACCGTTTGATGTTAAATATGAAGCTCACATTGTATTTCTACTAGGTCTACTAGGTAGTGCTGCTCTAGACCCTGTATTTCTCTGTGACGTGACAGTCATGTACGCCACCTCCCACCTGGGGCCGTGGGGCGGTGGACCATTATGTCTGGAAAAGACCTCAAAGGTCATCCAGCCCAAACCTCTCACTTTACAGGTGTGGACACTGAGTGCCCGGAAGGAAGAAATGATTTAGCAAACCCAGCCCTGCCTGCAGATACGACAGCGTTCCCCATCGCTGATTTCAAGGCTAGCTGGGAGGCCAACAGTAGGATTTCCTTTGTCTTGGCTGATCTTCAGTTTATTATATAAAAATTTAAATATAAAATAGTTTAAAATATAAAGTTAGTATTGTCCCAATCTGGTGGGCGTGGGAGGAAACAGAGCAATTAAATTTGCAACAACATATCTCAAACTATGAAATAGCTGGGAAACAAAAAGATTTTAATATTTAAATGTCTGGCCTTTTGTTCTGCTCTCCCCTGACCACAGACATGTTTGGAATATCCTGGTCTTTTATCCTTTCTAGTAGCAGAAAATGAATATTTAATGTAGAAAATGCATAGAACTAAGGATGCCCTTGGCCGACCAGGGACTCCTCCCGAGGCGCCTGCCCACTTCTTAGGCTGAGCTCCACGGTTTCCTGGAGCAAAGGTGCTGCTGCCTGTGACCTAAGGGTGGGACGGGATGGCTGGACCCAGGAGACAAACTGCAGACAGGTTTTCTCCCTCTTTATGAAGGGATCCAGAGGCTTTGGGGGACCGGACTGAATTCTGAATGTGGTCAATGTTTGTTTTTCAGGTGCTTAACAACAAAGCAAGACATTTATACTCACCATCTTTGCAGTCGACTCCACTGTAGCCAAAGGCACACCTAAAATATAATACGTAACAGGAAACCATGGTAAAGAGCGTGTGGGAACATGTCAGAGTTCCCACCCAACCTCCATGTCTTCCTCTCCATCTTTCTTCTATTCTCTCCTCCCTCGTTCCTTCTCCTTTCTCTTTTCTTCCTAACAGTTCCAGGTGAGCATCTTCCATGGAGCTCTGGAAGTTTGGGGCGGGGGGTGAAGGGGTTATACAATCCCATGTGGTCTTATTTTCTGCGGACTGAATACTCCATCCCCTGAGCTCCAGGAATATTCAGCAATTCAGGTGAAGCCGAACCCCAGAGGCATGATGCCTAGTGGGACCCCCTTGGGCTCTGCCACTTATTTGCTGCCCTATAGCTGGGTCGAAGCATTTATATTCTCTGAGCTTCAGTTTCCTCACCTGTGAAGGAGGACTAATACACTCCTGACAGTGTTGTTGTGTGGGAGGTATTACCTAGTGTGGGTCCTAGCACATACAGAACGTTCAAAAACTACTGATGATGATGAAGATGGTGACGACGACAATGGTAATGATGATGATGCTCTCTACCTAACTTATGCCATCCTACCAACTTCCTGACCCTAAAGCCCTGTTGCAAACTCTGTCCTTTTAATCCATTACCCCATGCATAAGCTCCAGCAATGGCAAGATATAAAAGGAACAATTTATCTTACGGTTGGCAGTTCCTACTGTCATCCCTCTGGTAGCCCGGCAGGCACACACAGTCAGGGGTCCCATCGCTCTTCACCACGCATTGCATATTGTGTTCTGCCTTGCAGGTATCAGCACACTTTGGACCTAACGCTTCAGAACAGAGTGATTTCTGGGTGATTTTCAGAAACAACCTCTTGAGCCCCAAAGTGATATGTCACAAAATACAATTTTTCCACATTTCTTTTTCTAGGCAAAATGAGGTGCTCACTGGCTGTGCACATGATGTGCCCCCCATGAAGCTACCCATGGGCTGCGACCCCAGCTCACAGCCAATGCCACACTTCAGGGTTGTATGTCTAAAGCCAAAATTCATATCCCTTCGGATCTGAAATGCACCTGGACTCTTGAGCAGTATGTTTGTATTTTGCAAATGTGAGAGGAGAGAGGGTAGGGGTTGTGAAGGCCATTTAGAAGCAGGTGGAGCACTTACCAATACACATAGCAATCTGTGGGTTGGGCCTTTCCAGCCCCTCTTTGCATTGGCACAGTAAACCATCGCTGCAGTCATCTTGCACATTATTCTTCACACAACCATAAAACTCACACCGATCTTGCACTGAGGGTTGCAAATAATTCAAAGATATATTCAGTAAGACAGTATGGATAAAGCAACATGTGAAAGCCTCCCCCGCCTTGTTGTTATAATGTCCTTTGAATAAGTTTGGGGATTTAACAAATGAAAATTTGGGATTCTAAAACCCAACTCCCCAATTTTCTCTTCCATGACTTTTTCCTTACATTATTCAATTCAAATTAATTCAATCCAAAGCAGTGCAATTATGTTCAAATTCAAGATCTCTTCTGCGCCTACTCTATGCTGGGTTCCACAAAGGACTTTGTAGCTATCTAACTTTTGGGTCCCATCTTTGTAGAGTTACATGTTTGAACCCATAGCAACTCCTAGTCCAGACTTTAAGTACAATGGGAATTAGGGGTTCAGGTAGTAAAGGTGACATCATGGAGGAGGTGGGAATTGGGTTGTCTTGAAAGACAGGGAAGATCTGAACAGTCTAAGGAGGCAAAGTCTGTCTAAGTAAACAAGGCAAGAAAAGAAGCAAAGAATTCTTGTCAGGGCATAGTGGTGTATTTGGGTAGGGGAAAGACAGGATGGTAAAAGTGGAAGAAAATAGAAAATTCTTGGCGGTGCCATTTATTGGCTATGGGCTCTCTTTGTTCAGTCATTTGATTTTTGGTGGGTCCTTCCCTCCATCTATAAAATAGGGCCAGTAGCCTAGCCAGTGTGGCTCAGTGAATTGAGCATAGTCCCATGGACTGAGAGGTCCTGGTTCGATTCCCAGCCGGGGCATGTGCCCAGATTTCAGGCTCAATCCCCAGTGGAGGGTGTGCAGGAGGCAGTTGGTTGATGTATCTCTCTCACATTGATGTTTCTCTCTCTCTCTAAAAAATCAATAAAAACAGCCCTGGCCAGTTTGGCTCAGCGGTTAGAGCGTCGGCCTGCAGTCCTGAGAGACCCGGGTTCAGTTCCCGCTAAGGGCGCGTACCTCGGTTGCAGTTTGTCCCCGTCCCTGGTCGGTTGTGCGGGTGGCAACCACTCGATGTGTCCCCTCACATCGATGTTTCTCTCTCTCTGTTCCTCTCTCTCCCTCCCACTCTACCTGAACAAAAAATGGAAAAATGTCCTCGGGTGAGGATTAAAAAAAAAAAAAAAAAAAATCGATAAAAACATATTTTTTAAAAAAGTACAAATTAGCAGTTATAAAAAATAGTCACACAGATATAAAATACAACATAGGGAATACAGTCAATAATATTATAATAACTATGCATGGTGTCAGATGGGTACTAGAATTATCAGGGTAATCGCTTTGTAAGTTATATAAGTGTCTAATCACTATGTATAACAATATAATATTGTATGTCAACTGTAATTGAAAAATAAATTTTAAAAACATGTTAGGAAAACAATATGGTGTTTCCTCAAAAAATCAAAAATTGAACTGCCATTTGACCCAGTGATCCCACTTCTAGGAATATATCCTAAGAAGCCTGAAACACCAATCAGAACGAATATATGTACCCTTATGTTCTTAGCAGCACTATTTATAATTGCTAAGATCTGGAAACAGCCCAAATGTCCATCAATAGATGAGTGGATAAAAAGCTGTGGTCATATACACAATGGAGCACTATGAAGCTGTAAGAAAGAAAAATCTCTTATCCTTTGAGACGACATGGAGGGACCTGGAGAGTATTATGCTAAGCAAAATAAACCCGTCAGAGAAAGACAAGTATCACATGATCTCACTTATTTGTGGAATATAATGAACAAAATAAGGTGATGAACAAAACAGATCCAGAGACATAGAAGTAGGGTTCAGACTGACAAACTTCAGAGGAGGGGCAGGGGAAGAGACAATCCAAAGAACTTACGCATATAAACATAACCAATGGACAAAGACAACAGGTAACATTTCTCTAATCATCTGGAAAGCTATAACGGGAGATAAAACCTTCTTGATTTGCCTTGCTTCATCTCTCCCTGTCCAGAGAGCATTTGTCCAAGACTATTTTCCAAAAAAGAGAAACACACTGGGCAGTTTGATGACCTGGGAGATGGTTAGAAAGGCGTGGGAGCCAAGTGAGAGAAGAAAAGGAGGAAGAATGGACTGGTGAAAAGGTCCGTTCCTGGAGACATCTGCAGATTCAGTTATCAGTTCTTCTTGCCCCCTTCTTACATACAATGGAGACGTCTACAAACAAGTAGGTGGGTGTTTAGGTAAACGTTGAATAAAATTATTTGGTACTTACTAGCATAGCTTTCAAAGTCAGCAGAGTTGTTTGAAATTCTTTTATTAATTGCCTCAGATACAGTCATCTCATTTTGTTTAGAATTTTCTGCAAAAATGTTTACTACTTCTACATCAACAAGCTTGTCACCAGCACGCATTTCGGATCTTGCTAGAGCAGATAATCTAAAAATGAAATGAATTCATCACTTGATGAACTAAACACAAGCATCAACAAATTGGTCTTTGAATTTCCCATACTCCCAAGTCTCCCAGTTCTAATTCTGATGCACAGATATATCCATAATGGGGGGCCCAATAAGGAGGCCTGGGGTTACAATAAGATGGCAGTTTACAGGCCCAGAGATCTCTATTTAATGTGTATTTGGAAGAAACCAAAGGCTAAATTAACCCATTGGAGGATACTTAGAAAACTGTGGACAATCATTTTTAGGATCTAGGAGCCTGGAACGAATCAGAAGTAGAGCAAGTAACATCTGAAAGAGTAACTTGTTATCTTCTGTAGAAAATCAAAAGTAAGTCTCTTGCTGAGCCTTTAAACCTCAGAATTGTACTTAGAGAGAGACAGAGAGGACTGGCGTTCCTCCCTGTGCCCAGAGAGAGCGGTAATCAACCACACAGAGTCTGGGTCACTCCAGCAATGGCCAGGAAGTCAGCAGGCAAAGTGGGCATGTGATTGGGCCTGGGTACACGAGACCCAGAGGAGAACTGAAACAGGACAGATGGGGCTGTGGGAAACATGAGCATATAATACCAAATCATATCACCCAATACTGAGTGTCTGCTAAGAGGAAGACACTGAAAGTTACTCTTTCAGATGTTACTTGTTACTCTCTCTAATCAGCACTGCAGTTGGAGCCCCAACAACAGCTGGGCCAGGTTCTAATTCTGCCATTGTCCCAAAGGAATCAAATGATACAACCACTGGGAAATAAAAGGTCTTTTAAAAACACCCTCCCTGAAAAGGGGACTCTAGTACACTGCTGGCGGGAATGCAGACTGGTGCAGCTACTATGGAAAACAATATGGTGTTACCTCAAAAAATTAAAAATTGAACTTCCATTTGACCCAGTGATCCCACTTTTAGGAATATACCCTAAGAAGCCTGAAACACCAATCAGAAAGAATACATGTACCCCCATGTTCGTAGCAGCACTATTTACAATAGCTAAGATCTGGAAACAGCCCAAGTGTCCATCAGTAGATGAATGGATAAAAAGCAGTGGTACATATACACAATGGAGTACTACGCAGCTGTAAGAAAGAAAGATCTCTTATCCTTTGAGACTACATGGAGGGACCTGGAAAGTATTATCCTAAGAAACAAGCCAAACAGAGAAAGACAAGTATCATATGATCTCACTTATTTGTGGAATATAATGAACATAACAGTCTGAGGAATGGGATAGTCTCAGAGATGTAGAAGTCGGGTATAGACTAACAATCCCCAGAAGAGGGGGTGGTGGAAGAGAGATAAACCACAGAACTTGTATGCATGAACAATGGACATGGACAACAAAGCTGGGGACAGGGCGGGGAGGGAGGGGGGGGGAATCAGTGGGGGAAAAAGGAGAAACATCTGTAACAAAAATAAATAAATTAATTTTAAAAAAAGAGAGAAAAAAAAAAAAAAACCACCCTCCCTGCCCAGCTGGTGTAGCTCAGTGGTTGAGCATGAACCCATGCACCAAGAGGTCACCAGTTCGATTCCTGGTCAGGGCACATGCCTAGGTTGTGGGCAAAATCCCCAGTGGGGGGCATGCAGGAGGTGGCCAATCGATGTTCTCTCTCATCGATGTTTCTATCTCTCTCCTTCTCCCTTCCTCTCTCTGTAAAATCAATAAAAAAAATTTTTTTAAACACTCTCCCTATTTTATTTGTGGCTGTGTATTTTTTTTTTTAATTTTTGTTAGTCCTCACCTGAGAATATTATTTTTCCATTGACTTTTAGGTAGAGTGGACAGGAGGGAGGGAGAGAGAGAAAAAAATTCAGTACGAAAGAGACACATCGATTGGTTGCCTCCCGAACGACCTTGACGGGGGCAGGGATCACACCTACAACCCAGGTAGGAGCCCTTGACCAGAATTGACCCTATGACCCTGTGGACAGCAGGCCAACGCTCTAACCGCTGAGCCAAACCAGCCAGGGCATTGCTGTGTATTTTTAAGACTCAGGATATATTTTTCCTGCCCAGTTTTTTCCCTCTACCTCATTATGACTTTTGAATAAATACAGAAGCTCAAAAACATACCCCACCTATTTAGGAAATGTTTACAGCCCTGTTGGTTCTTCAGAACAATCAGCATGATCCAAAACATTAACCAAATTCTGTTGTTAGGAATGATCTCCTCAACATAGTCCAAAATACCAAATGGCTTCAAATTCTCATTTTAAATGGTCTCCCATGATTCACTTGTGATAGGATTTGGAGGTAGTGGGGCAGGTAGGTGGCAGAAGAGAGGGGTCTTTGACACAAGTTAATCTTTATCAGTTAAAAAATGACCAGAACCCGGCCAGTGTGGCTCAGTGGTTGAGCATCGACGCCATGCACCAAGAGGTCACCAATTCGATTCCCAGTCAGGGCACATGCACAGGTTTTGGGCCCAATCCCCAGTGAGGGGCATGCAGAAGGCAGCCAATCAATGTTCTCTCTCTTCGATATTTCTATCTCTCTCCCCCTCTCCCTTCTTCCCGCTCTAAAATCAATAAAGAAAAAAATTTTTTTTTAAATGACCAAAAATCTATGGCATGCATTCAGAGTGGAGCGAGGAAAGACATGCCATCCATAATTCATTCATTCCAAAATTCTGTTAGCTTACACTCGAATTTAGGAAGCAAGACATTATGCTCATGAGTTAAAGGAGCCACTGTGGACTTGAGTGACATCAAAAGGTATAGTATAAATGACTAGAGCACTGGACTTGGAGTTAAGACACCTGCGATCTAGACCCAAGACTGACTCAATGTCTTGTGGCCCAAGTTTCTCTCCTGAGCCAAGTTTCCACTTCTGTCCAAAGAGAGATTTGAGAGTTAGAGAAATTCTGAGGATCCTTCAATTCCAATATCTGTACCATAGATAAAGATCTTGGGGATTCAAAGGAAAGAGTATTGCACTGGAGTCTAAGAAATGTCTTCTGCCCTGGCCAGATGGCTCAATTGGTTGCATTAAAAAGTTGTGGGTTCGATTCCCAGTCAGGGCACATACCTAGGTTGTGGGTGCGTAAGGGAGGCAACCAATCAATGTTCCTCTTTCACGCTGATGTTTCTTTCTTTCTCTCTCTCTCTCTCTCCCTTCCTCTCTTTCTAAGATCAATAAAAAAAACATATCCTTGGGTAAAGATTTTTTTAAAAAGTCTTTCTAGCCCTGGCTGATTTGGCTCAGCGGTTGGAGCATTGCCTGTGGACCAGAGTCCTGGGTTTGGTTCCCGCTAGGGGCATGTACCAAAAAATTTTTTAAAAAATTATAAATAAGTAAATGAAAAGTCTTTCTAGATAAGACTAAGAAACATTTACCCTGCCACAGCCCCCTGAGGGAAGTAGTTACTGGCCAGGACACTGAGCTCACAGGAACACTGCGGGCTCCCTTTTAGTAGCTCCATAGAAACAGAAGGAACCCCCCAACCCCCGCCAAATGACCTGTGGGACCAGCTCTCCATCACCCTTGCAGGGCCCCATGTTCTGGAAGGGAAGTAGATGGAAACTAACATGTTGAAATCATCTATGTGCAAGCACTTTGTGCAGGGGAACTTTCCAATGTCACTTCATTTATTCCTCCCAAGGTTCTAGGAGAGGCGATCAGATTATCTTAGGTATACAGATGAGGTGACCAAAGTTTAGAAAGGTTAAAACTACTGCCCATTCATGCAGCGAGGAAGTGCCAAGGCCAGGATTGGAGCCCAGACTTGGCTGAAGCCATCCCACCTCACTGTTCCTGTGTTATCCAGTCATGCTCAAAGCATGGACTCCCTCTTTTCCACCAAGTCAAACCAAATGCCCTGAAACTACACCTAGCCCTCCGGCAGCTGTCCGCTGTGAACTTCCAGCTTCAGAGCCTCTGTACTGCCCCCCCCCCCCCCACCTGCTGCCTACCCCTTGCCATGCAGCACTGTGCCTCCCATTAGTCTGCCTGCTGGTCTCCTGGCTGCCAATCACGCTGGCCCCTCATTCATTATCAGCTCAAAATTCACCAGCTTCAGGGGCCCACTCTGAATTTTTATGCATTAACATACACTGTATCTTGTTCCACAAAGAATTTGAGGAAGCTCCTAAAGATAGATGCAATAGTAAAACCATAAAATATGAATACATTAGGGCTCCTTTTTCTGCTCAGCTTCATTGTCTGAGAGCATACTTTCCTCAGGCTGCAGCACTTGTGTGTGAATGTGCTTCGGAGAAGGCTGAAACAGAACTGCTAACTTCTGGAGAATCCTTTGCCTCTTTGGGTCCTTAAATAGCCCTCCGCACTGGACAATGCCCATTGATATGCTCAAAAAATGCTTGTTTTTACTGCAGGAAGAGCTCACTACTGGTTCTTTAGTAGCCAAGTGTGAGACTTGGGTGTTATCTCCCTTATTCCCTCCATATGAGGGAAGAGATGACCATGAGCCACTCATTCTTTCCTGGCCCCCCTGGAATGCACGTTCTGAGGATTGACCAGGTACAGTTTGTAGCCAAGGAATCAAATCAAATCAAACTGATCCAGGTAATGTTTAGGACCATGTGCGCAAATTGCTGAATAGCCAATCACAGCATCTTGCTGTCTCCAGGTTACAACTTTGCCCATCCACACCAAGGTCAGTGTGACATCAGAATGACTACCTCCTCCTGACTTGTGATTTCCTCCTGACTGTGATTTCTTAGTGCTGCACAGGGAACTCAAGAGATGAGAAGTTCAGCAAATGCATACCTGCCTCCAAAGTACTCCATTTGGTCTATAGCAAACTTACCTTAGTTTATAAATCACAGTCTGTCCATAATCATCATTCAAAAACACATCTGCAAACTGTGGAAGAAAAGAACAAATTTTATAACAACTACAGAGTGGGGAGGAGAGTAATACTATATCTAGGTTTTAGCATAAATACTAGGATAAACTCCTGTATATAAATATCACAGCAAATGATTTATTCTTTACTTGATCTCTAACACCTTTCAGTGATTTTTGCTGTAAAATACTAAGAATTTAATACAAGTCAGGGTTATCCAAGAAAAAGATGGAAATCTAAAATAGCCAAATCAATGATCATACTCTTAAAAATTAAGGTGACTAACTTATTAAGTTTGTCTTTTGAAAATCATGGTAAAACCCAGCCAATGTGGCTCAGCGGATTGAGCGTCATCCCACAGACTGAAGAGTTCCTGGTTCAATCCTGTTCAGGGCACAGGCCTGAGTTGTCGTCTCGATCCCCAGTAGGGGGTGTGCAAGAGGCAGCCAATTGATATTTCTCACATCAATGTTTCTAGCTTTCTCTCCCTTACCCTCTCTCTAAAAAAATCAGTAAAAAAAACAACCCATATTTAAAGTCATGGTAAAGTTTTGCATATTTGTTAGACTTATCTATATGCCTGCTTCATACATACATTCATCAATTTACCCAAGGCACATGTCTCTAATTGCCTACAAAGCAATTATACCAAGGGACTTAGATATTACAAAAATGGGCTGACCCTGCCCTTTGATCAAACAGGGGACCACACCATGAGACAGGTAAACGCCACAGAGCAATACGATCTACTGTGGAAGTTCAAGGAAATTCTCTTTCATAAGTTGCATAATTTATTTTGTTTGAACCTCACTCTTCTCATTGAAAAACTTGAGAGAGCAGAGATTCCTGCCATGCAGGTCTCTACTGGGTATGAAATGAGAGGCTTTGTGAGCTGGATGGTGAATCGTACCAGGCTTGACTTGTGTCCTAAGAACAGAGACAACTTGAGATACGTGTAGAGATGTGGCCAGAGATAAAGCTGCGCCCCCTGGCAGGGATGGGGTGGAGGTGAGTTGAGGGTCCCAGTTAGAACATAAGTTCTTTGATGCCAAGAATGGGGTTTGTTTTCTCCTTCTTACGATACCTTTCCCACCCCTACCCGACAGCACTGAGCACAGGGCAGTCCCTAGGAAAGGCCCAACACTGGTTGACTGATGATTGAATAAATTAAATGTGAAAGACATGACCTTAGACATGTCTTCCCCTGTTTGGGCCCCAGTCTTCATATTTATTAATGGGTGCTGAACTGGGATGACACAACCTTTTTCTAATCCATGACTTTTTATTACTTTTCTCCCCATGGGGAATCTCACATTTTTAAAAGGTCATGCCAACCAATGTCATTTAAAAAGATGTTAAATAATTTCTCTTTTAATCTAGTCAAATTCAAATAAATCTGATGCTCTAGTTAGGCTGGGCAGCCTTATATCCAGAATATGTCTCCACTCCTTTTAATTCTTTTAAATATTAGGGATAGTCGGTATTTCTACCAGGGTCCTGGGAATCCACTCAGGAACAAGCTCACTGGATGACCCCCAGGGTCCCTTTAGCTCTCCTATTGCCCATTTTGTTTTCTTAATCCCAAAAGGAAAAATTGCTAGATTAGCATTTGGCATAGGAAAATGTGTTTTTTGTTTTTTTCCCTCTTTCGGGTCGCCCTTTGAGGGTGTTGGAATATACACCTCCAGGTCGGATAAGAAGGCAGCGCTAGCCAAGCAGGCCTGCCTGGGCTCCACTGCCCTAGTCAGCAAGTGTGCAGAAGGCAGATCTGTGGTCAGGCAGGTCTGGGTTCCAGTCCCAACCTCCTCCCTCAGCAACTGGGTCAGTTGCTTCACTTTCCTGATCCATGACTGCCTAATCCACAAAAGAGGCACCACAGTATTCTCTCCCCACGGGGCTATTTTGAGAATTAGAAATATTACACATGAAATGCCAGGTACAGCACACAACAGGGGAACTCCGAACCAGGGACTATCCATTTGGATTCAGTGGGTTAATAAAACGGATCCTGGGAGACTTCGCAAGGTCTGAGCTAGTACTGCCCCAGTGACCAAGTCTGCTCAGAGGACTGGAAAGAAAGTGAATTGTCTCTATTTTCTGATCTCTAGGAGGTGCAAGGGAGTGCGGGGTCATCCCTTTCGGATGAACAGCCTCTTGGAAATTATAAAACACACTATCCCGTTCCCGGTCCCCCTGGGACCATCCAGACCTGACTGAGATCAAGTCTCTAAACTGGTCTCTGCAGACCAGGGCACAGGTCTGGAGTTGGAGGGGCATTTTGGTGGCCACAGTGACCAGTGCTTAGTAAAGGCACACAAGAAAATCAAGGGACTCCCTGGAAATAGGAAGGCGTTGGCCTTGCCTTCTTCAATGTACTGACTGTCATCCAAGTGGGCCAATGGGGCTGTAGATCCAGAATAAGAAGAGATGGCTTGGGCAGCTGGCCCATCAGGCACAGGTGGTATGACAAAGGGGCCAGGGCGAGCACTGGGCTGTGGCAGCGAGGGTTTTTATCCCAGCGGTGCCAGGCCCTGGCTGTTCCGTCGTGAGCACTCGTTTCCCCCGTACAACCTGTAGAGTCATTTGAATAATCCTTTTTCATATTTTATCAATTCTAATAACAAAACTCTTTTTTTAATGATATACGTAACTCGAAATGGAAAGACATTGTCATAGACCAAGGCGTTCGTTTTCAAAGCCTGGCTACGCATTGGGAAGTGCGGGCTGGATGCTCTCTGCAGACCCTTGCAGATCTCACATGCATGGGTCCAGCGTGGGCATCTCCTGTGACACAGTCACTCACAATAACCACCATGGAAAGAAGCTATTGTTCACTCTGACATTTTTTTTTTTTTTAATCCTCACCCAAGGACATTTTTCCATTTTCTTGTTCAGATAGAGTGGGAGGGAGAGAGAGAGAGAAAAACATTGACGTGAAAGGGACACATCGAGTGGTTGCCACCCGCACGACCTAACCAGGGCCGGGGACAAAATGCAACCGAGGTAGGTGCCCTTAGCGGGAACCAAAGCCGGGTCTCTCTAGACCGCAGGTCGATGCTCTAACCGCTGAGCCAAACTGGCCAGGGCCACTCTGACATTTTTGATAATGGGGAAAAAAGGAGGGAACAGATGTTACTGTAGATGGAGCTCCTCTGCCGGATTCTAAAAAAGTCATACCAGTACAGAAATGTATGCAAACTGGAATGTAAAAAGGAAAGAACAAGCAACATCTTTAAAAAGTTTTCTCTTCAATTTTGTGGAAATAATTCATTTTAAAACATCACTATATTTACCTGTTTCATTAAAAATATTCTAGCCCTGGCCGGTTTGGCTCAGCGGTTAGAGCGTCAGCCTGTGGACCAATGAGTTGCAGGTTCGATTCCGATCAAGAGCAGGTACCTTGGTTGCAATTTGATTCCCGGCCCTGGTCGGGGTCATGCAGGAGGCAACCAGTCAATGTGTACCTCTCACATCAATGTTTCTCTCTTTCTCCCTCTCTCTCCCTCCCACGCTATCTGAACAAAAATGGGAAAATATCCTCAGGTGAGGATTAAAAAATAAATTCTAATAGTTCATGTAATGACAAGTACGGCACAGCTGGAGCACACTTCTAAAGTCCTCCGCTGAGCCAGGTGTTCCTTAGAGAGGGGCATGGTCATGGGGGAGGGGCCTGGGCCGCTGGGAGGCAGTTTACCAACCAGTGAGGGTGATGTCACTATCTGCACAACCACTGGACAGCTCCGTGTTAGAATGAAGAACACTTTACAGGAAGGAAGATTGGAAAATACTTACAAACTTTGTAATTTTCTTATGTAAGATTTCATAGGCTTTAGACGTTTCATTTTCCAAGCCAGATATTTCTGACATTTTAACTTTAATTGTTCCAGGTAATACCTTTCCTGAAATTCAAGCAGAATCTTGCTGTAATGTTTAATGTAAAGAGGGTCATATTCAATTTGTTTAAAACACACTTTTGAAAAATTTGAAACAGTATATGATGATACCACAGGAAGCCTGGGACTATGCTGGATGTGACCCCACATCCCACCCAACCTAACCGATCATTTTCATTTTGGTACAAGATATCCCCTACTTTCTAAAAGTTCACTTTATGCCACTTCGCTTTGATGGGAAACCCACATTAGGACCTGTTTTCGCTAACCAAAAGAAATCCTAAGAAAATTTTTGCTTTTATGAAAAAAGGTGAAAATTGAAAATAGTGTTCCGCATTTTTGCAGCAGTTTGCCATGGAGGCAGCACACACCCTGGGCAGCGGGAGTGGCCCCGCCAGCTCCTTCCCTGGGAATGACACTCAGCATCCTGGCATCAAGCTGCCATAGCTTTGAACTGTCTGTGAGCATCTGTGCTTTATCTCGATATATTCTGTGCATCGTTAAAAAGATGTGTCCTGCCTGGCCGGTGCGGCTCAGTGGTTGAGCATCGACTCATGCACCAAGAGGTCTCCAGTTTGATTCCTGGTCAGGGCACACGCCCAGGTTGTGAGCTCAATCCCCAGTGGGGGGCATCCAGGAGGCAGCCAGTTGATGTTCTCCCCCATCGATGTTTCTATCTCTCCCTACTTCTCTGAAATCAATAAAGAAAAAAAAATTTAAAAAAAAGATGTGTCCTAAGATAATTGCTTCTTCATTATATGTCATTTCAGCTTACAAAAGGTTTCATAGTAATACTCTACTTTCAGAGAATGGGGGGAACCTATATTTCTCCCGGCTCCCTTTTTCCTATGCATAGTTTATATCATTATAATTCCTAGTTTATATCATGAATCTTCTGTACTTATTATTAAATAATAAGCATTTTTCCAAATTGTTACCTGGTCTTTATAACTATTATTTTTAAAAAGCTGCATAATATTCTATGAAATATATGTTCCCTTCATTGATGGAGTCATTTTTGTTTTTAGGACTTTTAATTATTTGAAAGGGGGTAGGGAAAAGGTTGCAATGAAAATCTTCATGCCCAAGCCTTTCCATATTTGGGGTCCTTTACTTAGAGAGGATCCCCAGAAATAAGATTATTCGCGCTGCCCAGTCAGTGTGGCTCAGTGGACTGAGCGTTGTCTTGTCCTATGGACTGAGAGGTCCCTGTTTGATTTCCAGTCAGGACACATGCCTGGGTTTTGGGCTAGGTGCCCAGTAGGGGGCGTGCAGGAGGCAGCCGATGGATATTTCTCTCATATCAATGTTTCTATTTCTCTCTCCCTTCCTCTCTCTCTCTAAAAAAATTAATAAAACATATTTTCTTAAAAAGATTATTCATGCTAAAAATAGGAACATCCTTTTGGTTTTTGAAATATCTCTAATCCCTGTGGCCAATACTATTGCAGTGTTACTATGCATTTGCAATACTATGCATTTGTTTTCTATACAATTGATCTGCTCTGCCAAGGGGGTATGTTTCTCTCTCACGAAACAGATAAAATTATATTACACGGGAAACAGCCTTGGACCTTCATAGCACCCAGCTGATCTAATCCAAAAGGTATGAATAAGTTTATGGCCATTTGCTCCTGACGTCCATTTCTAGACCTGAGAGGCTCTTAGTCTCTAAAAATGGGGCTTGCTGTTATGGAGCAAGAAAATCCTATGACGGAGAACCAGCCGGGCTGGTCTGACCATGTGGTCTTAGGTATATCACCTTGTTCTGCCTCAGTGTCCCCATGTGACAGCACTACTCTGTGCAGTCTTTGTGCTTTTTCAGGGCCTTCAACATCTGTCATTCTCATTTTGTCCTCATGGCACCACTCCCTTGAACAGGTGAAGTGAAGGGACACCACCACCCCCCCCAAGAGGAGCTCACAAATCTGACTCGGTCCATTTCCTCTCACACCTGGTTCCACTTTCACAAAGACAGCAGCCATTTTTCTACTTGACTGGCCTTTGTTGCCCCCAAAGTTTCCTCTCTCTCTCTTATTCTGGAAGCCCCTTTTGCCATTATTTTAAGTTTTCTATTTCACTTTAGGTATGAGATGCAGCTCTGCACGGTTTATCCTTTGGAACTCACCTTTATTGCATTGGGAAGAGTTATAGTAATACCCATCAATACACAGGCAAAAGTGGGACATATTCAGATTAACACATGAAGAACCACCAAAACAGGATTTTTCTCGGCAAAGACCTGAGGTAGATAGAAAGAGATGAAAAATCCTCAGAACAAACAGCACCCAGAAACATGCTTTTACATTTTCATGCCTCCCTCCTGGGCACTTTTTATTCCTTGGTTGTGTTTTCCAGGGCATACCTTTAAAAGAGCTAGACACAAATACATATTTTCTTATGTATCTGGGGAGTTTGTTGCTGGAACTCTGGAACAATGTCGTCAACAGTAAAGGTCAGAGGTTGGCAGGCATGAATGGGCTCAGAGTGGTCTTTTAATTCCAAGAAGTCAGGAATCTTTGGACTTCAAGGATCCTCCAGACCTTGATATCTGGTCCTCTAACACTAGATAGGGCTCCCCAAAACTATTTTATAGAAAGCATCATCTTTTAAAAATTTATTTTACTTTATTCCATCACCATTTATCGCCTCTATGCCCTCTTCCACCCCGCCATGTCCATGAGTTCTCTCTCTCTCTCTTTCATTTTTGCTGAATTTCTACGTACCCACCCCCATGCCCCCCCCCCACCCCCCAGAACTGTCTGCCTGCTCTCTATGGGGCTGTCTCTATTCTGCTTGGTAGTTCAGTTTGTTCAGTTTGTTAAGTTCCACATATGAGTGAAATCACATAGTACTTGTCTTTCTCTGACTAGCTTATTTCACTTAGAATAATGTTCTCCAGGTCCATCCATGCTGTCACAAAGGGTAAAAGTTTTTTCCTTTTTACAGCAAAGTAGTATTCCATCGTGTCAATGTACCACAGCTTTTTTATCCACTCATCTACTGATGGGCACTTGGGCTGTTTCCAGATTTTGACTATTGTAAATAACACTGCAATGAACATAGGGACGCATCTATTCTTTTAAATTGGTACAGAAAGCATAATATTTGTAAGGAAGGTATAAATAACTGTCTTATAGGGAGGAAGCTCCAAAAAGGCAAAAAGCTCCAAAAAGAAATTAGATGTTATATTCTAGTTAGCACACATGGTGCCCAGATCCATAATGAAAGGAAAGGAATGTTTAGGGGAGAATGTGGATTATGTCAGTGAAAATTCTAAGGGAAAACGATAAAATGACACTCTACTCTCTGGCTTTCTGAGTGGATGCCGTGAATAAACGGTGAGACTAATACTGTACTATTTCCACAGTGCTGGCTGGGACTCCCACACCAGGCAGAGTGCAGTATCTTTTCTATCTCCAGAGATCAGAAGGAATCCAAGGAAGAAAGTTAGGTCAGTGGCCAAACGATGATCTTGGCTGGCCATTTCATTCATCTCTTTAAAATAAAATGATTCTGAGCTTTGATTTCTGAATAAATTAAATGTCTGATTGCCTTTAGAACTGTATGAATGCTTATGAACCTACAGGTAGAAATAGATTTTTTAGAAAATCTACATATAAGGTCCAATGTATATAACATTATCTTTTTTTCTTTCTTTATCCTCACCTGAGGACATTTTATTTTGCATTTATCTTCAGATAGAGCGGGAGGGAGAAGGGGGAAGAGAGAGAGAGAAACATTGATGTGAGAGAGACACATCGACTGGTTGCCACCCACCTGACCCCAACTGGGGCAGGAACAAACTGCAACTGAGGTATCTGCCCTAGAGGGAACCGAACCCAGGACTCTCTGATCCACAGGCCGATGCGCTAACCACTGAGCTAAACCAGCCAGGGCTAACATTCTCTTTTTGTGATTAAAAAAAGAGGGAATACACAAAAACACACACATATGTCTGTTTATGTTTATGTAGATTATCTATGGAGGGAGTCACAGGACACTGGCCACAGAACTGGCCCCTGGGGAAGAAAACTGAAAATATGGGTCCTAGGGATTTAGGATGAAAGGGAGAGTTTTACTGAATGTACTTTTACCCTGTGTATGCTTCTTTTTCCATAACTACTGGCCTAATTCGTTTTCATTAAAAAATATAAAATAGTTCGGTCAGTGTGGCTCAGTGGTTGAGCGTTGACCCATGCACCAAGAGGTTGCTGGATGGACTTCTGGTCAGGGCACATGCCCAGGTTGTGGGCCAAATCCCCCGACGGGGGTGTGCAGGGAGCAGCCAATAGATGAGCATCTTTCTCATTGATGTTTCTATCTCTCTTTCCCTCTCCCTTCCTCTCTCTCTAAAAATCAATAAAGAAAGGCCCTGGCCGGTTTTATTCAGTGGTTAGAGTGTTGGCCCGCAGACCAGGGAGTCCCTGGTTCGGTTCCCGCTAAGGGCACGTACCTCGGTTGCAGTTTGTCCCTGGCCCTGGTTGGGGTCATGCGAGTGGCAGCCAGTTGATGTGTCTCTCTCACATCGATGTTTTTCTCTCTCTCTTCCTCCCTGTCTCCCTCCTGCTCTACCTGAAAATAAATGCAAAAATATCCTTGAGTGAAGATAAAAAATAAAGAAATAAAAATAAAATCAATAAAAAAAACTTAAAAAAAAAAATATATATAAAATTAAATAGTGCTGATGAGAATGCGGAGCAACATCGCTGCTTGTTGCAAAATAGTGCAGCCGCTTTGGAAGACAGTTTGGGGATTTCCTACAAAACTAAACACACTCTTACCATATGACCCAGCATGTATACTCCTTGGTATTTACCAAAAGGAGCTGAAAACTTACGCCCAATCAAAAACCTACACATAAATACTTGTAGCAGCTTTATTCATAAATACCATAAATCTGGAAGCAGCTTTATTCATAAATACCATAAATCTGGAAGCAACTAAGATGTCCTTCGGCAGGTGAATGGATAAAGACGTTGTGGGACATCCAGACCACGGGATATTATTCAGTGCTAAAAAAAAGAGAGCTTTTCGGCGCTGAATAATAATCAAGCCATAAAAAGAGATGTAGGGACCTTAAATACATATTACTAAGTGAAAGAAGCCAGTCTTAAAAGTCTACGTATTGTATGATTCCAACTACATGACATTCTGGAAAAGGCAAAATTATAAAACAGTTATAAGATCAGTGGTTGCCAGGGGTTGGGGAGGGAAGGATGAATAGATGAAGCGCAGAAGATTCTTAGGGTTGTGAAAACACTCCATGAGATGCTGTGAGGATGTGACATGTATTTTTTCAAAACTCACAGAATGTACAAACACCGCCAGTGAACCTGAATGTAGACTGTGGACTTTGGGTGATGATGAATGTGTAGTGCAGACTCATCAGTTGTAACCATGTGCCCTCTGGTTGGGATGTTGATCTCTGTACCTTCCTCTCAGTTTTGTAGACTGTGGACTTTGGGTGATGATGAATGTGTAGTGCAGACTCATCAGTTGTAACCATGTGCCCTCTGGTTGGGATGTTGATCTCTGTACCTTCCTCTCAGTTTTGCTGTGAAGCTAAAAATGCTCTAAAAAATGAAGTCTATTTTAGCCCTGGCCGGTTTGGCTCAGCGGTTAGAGCGTCGGCCTGCGGTCCGGAGAGACCTGGGTTCGGTTCCCGCTAAGGGCATGTACCTCGGTTGCAGTTTGTCCCCGGCCCTGGTTGGTCGTGCGGGTGGCAGCCACTCAATGTGTCCCTTTCACATCGATGTTTCTCTCTCTCTCTCTCTCCCTCCTGCTCTATCTGAACAAAGAATGAAAAAGTGTCCTCAGGTGAGGATAAAATAAAAAAAATAAAAATAAAAAATGAGGTCTATTTTAAAAATGTATTTAAAAGATTTTTAAAAATGCTGCATGGGACAAAAGGAGGCATAGTTCAGTGTCTTATAAATAGCAGTAAGGGTCACCCCTCTGACGAGGTGGGAGCCAATATTCAAAGTGAAGTTAAATAAGTAAGTGGATTTTTTTTTTAAGCCTTGGTCATCCACTACAAGGATGATTTGGGGAACCTAGCTAAGAAACTGAGGGAGCCCTGGCCTGTTTAGCTCAGCAGTTAGAGCACTGAATCCGGGGTTCAGTTCCTGCTAAGGGCATGTACCTCCGTTGCAGTTTGGCCCCGGCCCTGGTTGGGGTCGCGTGGGTGGTGACCAGCTGATGTGTCTCTCTCACGTTGATGTTTCTCTATCTCTCTGATCCCCTCTCTCCTTCCCACTCTATCTGAAGATAAATGCAAAAAAAGAAAAAGAAAAGAAAAACTGAGGGAAGCTCCACTTTGGACCCACCAGGCAAATAACTCCTGGATTGCTTTCTCTCTGGCACAAAGGACAGACTTGGCTCGCTCTGTGGGCCAGGAATCAAGTCACTGGATGTTATGACTAGAAGGTTTGGGTGGCTCTTTAGTTCAGTCACACCTCACTACAGATGAGTATTTTGAAGCCCACAGAGAAGTGGTTTGCCCCATTCCCTGCAGTTAGTGACAGAACACAGAGAAGGTCTGGGGAACCAGAAATGGCTTGGAGCAGCGCCCTTCCTGATGCCAGGACTGAGTGTGCAGCTGGCCCCACCTGACCTCCCCTTCAGAGTGGCCCCTCCAGTTGCTTAATTATCCTTTTTTTTAAAAGATCTATCAAAGAACATTGGGGAAGCCAAAAGATGTTAAGTATAGGGAGATTCAAGTAGCTCTTTGACCTTGGGCAAGTTGCTGCCCTTGCTAGGCCTCTGTTCCCCTATCTGAGAACAGGGTTTATCTAGATCCTTCAAGCCCAGGTTTGAGGATTCTTTTAGTCCAAGGGGTTGACAAACTATGACTCATGAGCCAAATCTGGCTAATCTGTTTTTGTAAATAAAGTTTTATTGGTACATAGCCAGGCTCATTCATTTATATATTGACTATGACTGCTTTTATGTCAAAATGGCAGAATGCATACGTTGCAACAGAGACCCTATTGTGGCCCAGAAAGTCTAAGATATACTAGTTTGCCTTTGTCAATGAAGTCTGCTGACCCCTATTCTAGACCAAGCTTTGGGAAATGAGTCAAGTGGTTTGTTTCAATAACTTTGGCTTGGGGTGAACCTTAGTAACCCCAGAACATCTGTCCTTTGGATAATGGCCAGGCCATATCTAGGACTGTTTGAGCACTGCTGCTGTTTGGCTTTTGATCCCTCAGGCTCAGATTCCACAAACTGGCTCAGACTCCCAATTATGATCAGCTGTTATCATAACTTGTCCTATGTTTCAATAACATCTGGTAAGGAATCAGGGTAGAACTGACTCCTTCCTTAGGTAAGGGAGCTAGACCAGTGGGGTTGGAGAGCTGGAGCTTCTTTGGACCTGGCCTTCACAGAGAAGCTGAAACTACTTCGAAACCCTTCCAAGGTGCAGGGCGGCTGGAGAAATGCCTTTCATAAAGTCCAAGTTCATAAAAATATTCCACATCTGGCAAATAGCTTGAGGTGGGATAGGCAGCAAGGAAGGAGAACGGAAGGAAACTGCCGGTAATTTTTAAGGTCTCTGCGACTGCTACTAGCCTTTGTGACTCAGACTTTCATCCCAAGGATTCAGATTCAAGGAAACCTGGAGTCTCTTTATACCCACTTCCCTATCCCAGCAGAACATATTTGCCTACCACCCTCCACATTGCTGACTTCTCAGTGAGGCCTCTTTGAGGAAGTGTCTCTTACCTGTGGCA